TCAAAAGTTCACATTCTGTCACAGCTTAGTCATAAGCCTTCCTCTTGGTTGTTCATTTATAATCCTGGATCTGCCCATTCCAAATTTCTTGACTGTATGTTTTCAGACTGAATTGAACTCAAGTGGTCCTAATGGTACTTTATACAATGGCTGTAGCTCTTACAACAAATAATTTGTAAATAGCTGTCTGAAACCAAGCTGTGCTGTATAGCTTTCAATCTAACTTACCTACAGATTGTTTGGTTTTGATTTCTTTTTATTATTGTTGATCTTTTTTCAAGACAAATCTTCATATACGAAATGTCTAATGTCTCTTGCAGGTTAAAAAATTCATGGTTGGCTATGAAATGTTAGCTCAGAGTCAAAGAGACCTGACTGCAGAGCAGGTAATTGATACAAAGTTTACCCACAGAACTGTAATAGTTAGGTGCAAAATAAAGTGGCACAACATAACAAAGCATCTTACTGTGTTACTACCTGATGTGTTTTTAGGCTTTTAATATATGCAGCCATATTTGGTCATAATATTCACTGTCCTGCAATTTCAAATAGCATGTTATGTTGACACACTTATCCCTCTTGGTTAGCTCATGTTGTAGAGGGCAGAAGTGCCTTGCAAGAGGTGGAGGATTCAAGCCTCACAGCAGACAACACTCTTAATGTGCTGCCTTTGCTATGACATTTGTAAATGGTTATAGACATTCCTTATATTAGTCTTTTCAACTAAGGATGATAATCTCTAGGCCTGTTTCCTGCACCTTCTCTGTACTGGTTAGCAGGGGACATTGCAAAACCCATGCGCTTGTAGTCTGGCCTTGTTGTTGATCATTCAGACCCTTATTTAAATCAGCTGCAAAGATGAACTGGGTTAGCATGTCTAAATATCACAAATAGGTAAGTAAAAAAAAACCCTTGGCCTTGCCTGTCTCTTTCAATTCTTGTTAAGAGGGTGTTTGACTTTTGGTTTGGTTTTATTCACAGGCAGCAGAGAAGCTTAGAAATCTTTCTGAAATTCACTACAAGGTAAACTGACAGAGAATAACTTTGTCTTTTTTCTTATATTCTTACCTCATGTCTTGCACCTGAAGTGCTTTCAGCATTGTTATTGGGTAGTGCATTGTGGAAATTATTAATTTATTGGTTATTGTATTTGTAAGTTTCCTTCATTCCTTATTCTTATCACAACAACTGATTAGACATTTATTTATTCATTTAAACAGAATAGATGATATGCCAAAGGAGTGGCGATTTAAAAGGATTTGATGCAGTCATAACTCACTGCATAAAATTGATACTTGAAGTTTACAAGAAAGTTCCAGTATACTGGAGTTTTGTGGAGACTGAAATGAGTTTTGAACCTTAATTAATTATGAACCTTTGCCCTAAGGAGTAGAATTTTTTTTCAAATTTAAATGCACTTATAGGGTCATCAATAAAATTGTTTTTGATGCCCCATGTATTGAAGTGTTCTTGTTTGTGAAGTAAGTTTCTGAACATTTAATATCATTTTTGTGAAGTATATTTTAGAACTGTTAACAATAAAATGGAAGAATGAATGCACACTTTGTGAAGTGTGTGTCACCACTGAGTGGAAAACATTGGCTGAAATCACATCATTGTTTATAACCCACCCATTAATTTTTGCACAATTTTATTGGCTACTTTAAATCATGTGGTGCAAAATCACAGGACAGTCATAAGGCAATAACCCTGTTTAAAATGAAACGCAGCCAACCCAAAAAAAGCCAGCTCAAGATTTTCATTTTCTTATCTCTGTTATCATTTTGTAGAGTCAAAGTTCCCTTCTCTGCCCTTCTTTGTCCTTATCACTTGACATAATAGAACTAACTCAGAAGCTAGTTTAAGCTGGAATGATATAATTATTATTTGCCTGCACTGCAACCCAGGGACATACACTCAGTTTCTGAGCAGCTTTAAGTGGAATAGTCCTTTAGCAGATGGGTAAATCTTCATGTTAGTTCAGGCACTGAGATCAAACTTATACTCAAGTGAAAACAGATGGGTTGCAGAACCTTGAGGGAACTGTAGAGTATTCAAGGTTAAAGCAAGAACTCTCTGCAAATGATGCAGTTATGTAAATAATTATTCTTTTGTTGAGCACAATATGATAAAAAGGTTTTGTGTTTTTGCACACCAGAATCACTGGGCTTGAACAGAAACTTTAATCTCAAAATGTTACTAAGAGGACTTCATCACTTTCAAAGAACCCTTAAAGCCAGAAATCAAATTGAAAAACAAACAAAAAGACAAGAAAACTGCATGTATCAATTAACTTGTAATCAATTAAGTTGCTCTTTCATCTTTTGGTACCAGTTTGAATTGTTTTGTAAGTATCAATTCAATGATAAGCAATGAGGGTTGCAATAGGTCTTCTCAGGAATTTTGCAGATGCTCAACTACCTTGTTGCTAGCAGGCACTAAAAAGATGAAACTGTATTATGATGAAAATAGCTTTTAATTGGCTGTTTTAATCCAACTGAGGAATGATAAATTTCTAAGGACTACTTCCACAGAGCTGCAACCCATTTTTTTAAGAAGGGTAAGGCTTTTCCAAGAAGTCTGAAGACTCTTTCTTTCTTTCATTTTTTTCTTTTTTTCAAACAAGTGTGAACAAAACAGAATTACATTCTCAAGTAAATAAACTCATTTCCTCAAGAAGGGTCTTGCACTTTGCCTCATTTTGAAAGATAAGGTTTTTGGACAGCAGAAAAGGGAAATTAAAACACTATGATTGACTTTAAACACACAAAGGATTCACCATGTTAATTTATTTATTGACATAGATACACTACAAACATGAAGGTAAGTGGGTGTCTTTTCAGACTGTTGTTCCAGCAGGGCAGTGTCTACACATGACAAGGCAATTGAAGCTTTTTCAATTTCCTGATTGCTATAGGAATGGAGAGAAGCGGATCAGGGACATTACTACAATTATCTCACACTCTAAAACCATGGCTAACAGATAGCCCCATGCAACACACATCACTCAAGACAGTTATCAAATAATATTACAAAAGAGGAAACTTTACGGCTTTTCCAAGCTTTTCAAGCCAGGCAAGTTCTTGAAGCACATTTTTGCCATAGGAAAGGGTCTCTTTATGTTACACAGTACAAAATATACATCGTGACAAAGGTCCTGCCCTTAGTCACAGGCATCACGTTTCTTCATTTCCTGAGTCTCCACTATATTCCATACAATCATCGTCATCATCATCATCCACATCATCTGCATAGTCGTCATCGTAGAAATCTGTCAAGTCCTCAGGTTCAGAATGTGATGGTCTGGATTTTATACAGTACTCTTCAACAGTTGTTGGCACTGTTATGTTTTCTTTTTCTGCCTCAACTTTGGAACGCGCTACTTGTTTTCTAAGATGTGAAAAATGCATCATTTTTTAAATTACTAGTTTTCAAATTCCTTCCTTTGCCTTTTCCTGTACAACTTGCATCAGAGAACTTTCTTAATAAAAATGTTGCAAGTTTTATTATAAAGTAGTAGAACTTGATACAAGAATTCTACTTTTTCAGCAAAGTTCATCACACAAGTCAAAGAAAAATCAGTGAAAAAAAGTATTGTTAGCATGCCTCACAGAACCCTCGCAGTGAGGCACATGGGAGCATGAACATCAATTTTTTCACTGATTTTTGCCTTAGCTGCTTCACGAACTTCACTGAAAAGCAAGGCCTGTTTTAAGTTTCCAACAACCCCCTTTATCAAAAAGATCTTCCATTAAAAAAGTGCTCTGAACTCCACCTTTTTATCTTTGTGTTCTTAAAGCCTACAGCATGTTTTTCCCCAAAGTTTTTCTGTTCATTTCTGGCACGCATGTACATTTAAAAGAGAGAAAAGAACAGCCAGCTTACTTGACAATCCTTTCATACTCTCCATCCTTTCCTTTTGAGTCTCTCCATTTTCTGAACATAACTGAAGCATCCACATTTGCAGGAGAAAATGTGTTTGGCTCATTTAACAATGAGATCACACTCAAGAGAATGGTTCTATAATCACACAAAAATTATGATTACACTTTGATTGGAAGCTTTCACAATTCACTACTGTACACATATTTTTCCATATCTCGCAGAGAGTACATAGAGCAAGAGTCCCAGATTCCCAACATATACCAAATAGGTACCAAGACAGTGGTACCACTGTCAGAGCCCGGGTGATATTCTGGAATGGGAGGGGGGGACTAAAACAAAAAACACAGCAAGAGTTTCCAAAGGATTTGGGGTTGTTTCTAGGAAAATAAATTCAAATCTTCAGGTTCACAAATGCTTTTCACTGGTAGACTGGGAGTTATAGCCTATACTTCTTCCAATGTACTCGCAGGATTGACCAAAAAAAATTTTTCTTTAAAACAAAATACACTCCAACACAGGGGGGTCCAACACAGGTTTGGAGGGATACAGGATGTGGGATACAAAAAAAATTAAAGGCAAGATGAAAATAGGAAGGTGAGACCAGGATATGCTCTGTTTTGAAGGCGGAATAGGGAATAGGATGGATATGGACAGGATCATGATTCAGCTCAAGTTACATGTCACATGACCTCCTAGGTATTAGAAAGTATTATTTGCTTTGGAAACCAGCTTAATAATGCTCCTGTATAAATCGGGGTTGACAGACCTAAGTGACTCTGTAATATGTCAAGTTTTCTTTATATTAGTTACAAATGTTTACACATCTCTATAGTATGTCTGGTTGTCAAAAACTGAGTCCCTGTTGAATTTTTCACCCTTATATATAGAGGTGACTAAGGAAGTAGCTTTTGAAACAGATATTTCAGCCATAAATTTGATTGTTAGTTGTGTTTATTTGCTTGTTCAATGAACTGGTTGACAACATATCTGTTGGTGTCCAAGAGAGAGAGGTTACCCTGTCCATGTAGCATTTCTAATCAAGCAGTTTGTTAGCACCTTTACTTAAGATAAGCTCATAATGTCCATTAAAACCGGTATCACTATTTTTGGGAAGTTTTATTTTTCGATGAAGTTGATGAAATCTGTTGTATCTTTGAGAAATGAGTTGTTTTATTGTGCAATCAGCTGAAGAATTTTATCTGTGTAACAGGATAGCTTTTCAATTTCATTGGTGGATTTTTGTGTCTCACTCATTAATACCATAAACATACAGAGGAATGACCATTTTTTAAGCCATAATGAGAGTACGTATCATCATTGAAAAGGCTATAATTTGTCCATTAGTTGGTGATGAACTTGAACAACTTGGGTTTAACCAGGTGGGATCAAGATGAAAATGTTCATTCCATGGGATGACAGGATGGAATGAAAAATAGCAGAGGGATTTGGGATTGGAAAAGTCTATTTTGGACCCTATAAGCAGAAAGGTGATATGAAAAGATAAAAAATACATGATATATTTTTATTTCACTTGAATTCTCAGATAAAACAGATTAAGAAATAGTTTGCTAGGGCTACCATTAGAACCAGGAAGGCAGCAGAAACACTTTTTGCACCAGATACTTGGAGAATTGTTGTCAAAGACAGGAGATAAGTATTTTTGAATGGACTCCAACATCTATGTTTGGCTGACAAAAGTTACTCAAATTTTCCAGAATAATAAAAACATGTCTCAGAGAATTTCAAATTTTCAAATTACTGCCATGTGTGTGATGCAAGCATAATTTAATTCAGCCAACTTCTCAGTCCAGATCATATTCCTTTAACATTTTCTAATAATGACCAGACCGACAGTGCTGTGAATCGATCCTTGGATCTTGGGAATAAAAAGGTTAAATATGAGAAAAGATGGATTATTTTGAATTTTTGAGCACCTGTTTCTTGGCACCCCTGAATAGTTTGAAACAGATATGAGTTCCCTTCCATGCTCAAATTCAAATTATATTCCAAATTTTGTAAATCTCCTCATAACTTGAAGCAATTTCCTTTTTGTTCTATTCTTACTGGTGTATAAACTTATGAGGTGAGTTTCATATTGAGGAATAACAATCATATCCTTTCAGTAAGAGGCAAGAGTTGATGAGGATTTAGTTCTTCAAAGTCAGCATTACTGTATCAAGCTATTAATTAATACCAAACCGCTTGACACCATTATTTTTAACAGATTTAAACATTTCAAACTTTTTCTCAACATATTTGGGAAAGTGTTAGCTCTTAAACTGAAAAAATTTCTTCACTTAGATCATGTCTGGTGGATTTAACACTACTTTACAGTATTCAAGATTGCAAGCAGGTATTGAGGTAAACATCATTTAAAGGAATTAAAATATTTATCAGAAACTGTAACAGGAACACTTATTTCTGGCTACGCTCTTGATAGTGTAAAATTCTGTCATACTTCACAATACGTTACCAGCAACCAACAGAATTAATAAAAATCCAGAAACGGTGTTTCATCCAAAAAACTGGTACTATACACATCTGCCTCTGCGATCTCGTTTGGATTGGATATTTTTGTTAAGTTGTGATAAATTGGCTAAAAACCAAATGTACAGTCACAAAGAAAAGCTTGGGTGGTTTTTTTTTTTCCTTGACTGTAATTATGAATTGGACAAAACCACAACGCCTGCTTCAAACTAACCACGTTTCCATCGTGTGACAAGGAAAACATGCCGACAAACAACAGTAAAGAAACGTCATGACTATTCGAGCGACATTGGAAGCGAAATCTTTTCTGGTCAACTTTTGATTCTAAAAACATCTTTTGGCAAGAGGTGAACAAAATAAAATTTGAAGCTATCAAAGCAATCCAATATATAGGAGAATCTTAGGGAGCCAAAACGAGCATAGCGGACAATTCAACCTCACCATGAAAGTAAAATGAGGGCGCATTTGGAGGAAATTGTTCAGACACTGGATAGATTCCTAAAAAGTAAGCTTCAATAGAAGTTTGATTTTGATTGATGGACAGAATAAGGGAACAGAAAACGAAACTTTTCATTGATACGTACCTAACATTCTGCGTTGGGTTCCAACGTTCAGAAGGCAATTCTCCACTTTGTGGATCATCGACCGGTGGATGTAAAATTGAAATGCAGACATCACCGGACTATAAAAGCGACAGCAATCATTAGCTGCTAGAATATGAGAAGTAAAAAAAATCGTACTGGATGGCTCAAAAACACCAGAACGACGCCTCACCTCGTATATATTAGGGTGCCACATTTTCGTGAGGAAGCGAAACGTCGGTGGCGAATATGGATATGTAGAAGGGAACGACATATGTGCCTAACGCAAAATAAGACATATCAAAAAAAATTAAGATGTTAGCGAAATTTGACTTTCGTAATGAAATAAATGTGTTCTGTTCGATCAGAGACTTACTTTGAAGTATCCACCTTCATAGAGAGTTCCAGGAGGACCAAAAATCGCTACGTCCCATTCGAATAAGTTCTCATCATCTGGTACATTGACGAAAAAACCTTCGACTGGTTCCTCGGTAAGTTTCTTCAACTCTAGCTGTAACGCTCGCACAGCCGATGATGGTGGTTGCGCCGCCATTTGCCCTATTCGATTCTCTCTTTCAATCACAAATTTTAAACTCGAACGGGCCTTGATTTCGACACTAAATAAGTGAGCTTTTCCACCGCATTGAGATCATTAGCCCTCTTCCCTAAAGAAGTTTTGTTGTGTATTTACCAGTCCCAGGCTCCCAGCTTCAATTAGACGTCACAGAAAACATCCATATATGGCACGACTTTGGCACGACCAATGAATGACCGGAACCGGAAGTAGTCGGAAACTGATATAGCGGAAATGCTAAATGCTTTTCTATTGTGCGCAAAAGACAATGCTGTTTTCCAAACCATATCAGTAACTATTTCTTCTAGTTGCATCATACGCAAGACACCAAGTGAGCTTTTACCTTCGTCGAGAAGTTAAACCTGCCTATAAAAATGGCTAGAGAGTATAGTTTATCGCATGTAATAATTCGTGGTACTCAGTACTAATCGTCCACTTTATCGGCTCTTCAAGGCCAACGGTACTGCTCGATTTTGTCACCAATTTGGTCTGAAGTTGAGTGAGTTTTTAAGGGAACTATAAAGTCTTGTTTTGAATGAGACACGCCTGTTTAAAAAGACAAATCTATGAAATTTCTACGTACAGCAGACCTTTTGGTTTTGTGGTAAAAGAAAGGTAAAATGTTTCAGTTTGGGTTTAACGCTATAAATGAAGATTGGGGTTTTGACTGATTTAAGCGTCTATGATGTCATAACCACTATGAATGATATTTAAGTAATACGCGTGATAGTTAGATTCTAGCGGATTTTTGTGATATTATAGATACCTTCTAATATCAATTTCGGTTTGAGATGATGGTGAGCTTTATTTTTTGTTTTGATGTCTGGTGACATTAAATGTCTAAATCTGTTGAGTGACAGGGTTTGAACAATGTCATAAATAAAGGCTTTGGTTTATTCGATGGGTGACGCAGTGAAAGATCAAGCAATTACGGCCATCAATAATATAAATTGGTATTCATTGATGTATATATCCAGTGTGTCCAGAAGATAAGAATATGGCCTGGCCCCGTTTGCTAAGGACGTCTCATAAATAATGCATGGGGAGTAAACAGAATTGATAGGCCTGACCTGGCTCCCAGTACGATATGTGGCGTAACAAAAATAGAAAGTCTCCAACTCAGAGCAACAAAATTCATCTTAAATACGCACTGGCAAGAGGATGTTTCTTATCATGAGCGCCTTTCTCGCCTCAATCTGTTACTGTTAACATACTGGCATTAGGTGAAATACTTGATTTTTTATTTCAAGTATCGCGCTGGCCACTTCACCTTACCCAGAGATGATCAGTTACGGCAAGCCTAAAGGCACCTATCTCACTCGCCATAGCTCTGATCAAGACGTACTTATCCCGAAATGCCGCACAAAGCTCTTTCAATTTAGTTACTTCAACCGTACTGCTTAACTCTGGAATACGTTACCCGAATCCACTCCTACTCTTACTTCTCTCGATGAGTTTAAATCTCACGTACTCCAACGCTATTCTGCTGCTTTTCGTACAAACTATGACGTCACTAACTATAACACCTGGATCTGCTGCACCGTAAGCTGGGAACTGCTGGTACTGAATCTTTTTATTGGCTACGGGAGCGATTCGTGCTCATCGTTTTCTGGAAATAGGATTTTTATACCTCTAATGATGTTTTTAATGTTTACATAGTTAGCATTTGTGAATTTTCTTAAGGAAAATTTCTTATTTGGAGCCTCGCTCTGTTGTGTGTCCCGCACCTCCGTCTTGTGACCTCTTAAAATGTATTTCTTCTACCTAGTCTTATTTTAGCATTGTGGTCATGGTGAAAGCGATTATATAAGGTTTCACATTGTCCTTTTGTTGATGTCTTTTCAAAGAATGCACGCTATTGGTCGTGCCCTTAGTTTTAACTACCTCCTCGATTTATCAAGACAGCGCATGACCCGAAGGACTACCTCGATGTAATATTTGCACTCTCAGCGCTATAAAGAGAAAAGCCTGGGCTAAAGATTGAGGTCATAACTGGTGTAGGAATGTACCGTCTATAACATAAATTATCTTCAGTTAATTTGGGACGATTTTACACAACATAGGTAAAGGCAAATGACAAGCCAACGTAACTTTCGTTTACAGGTAATGCTGTAATTTTGTTGCGTTTGTCATTAATGAATTGTAAAATCGTTAGTACCTAGTCCCTTTACTTAAAGGAAAAAAAAGAAAAAGAAATTACTAAGTGACGTCATAAAACCATTGTTCTTGGACCAATTGTAATAGAATTATACTGGTCATGTGACCAAATCCTACAAAGTGTACATGGTTTCCTCCGGATAAATGAAAGTCACTATTCTTTTGGAGCATTTTTGGCGATAATTTTCCGCCTATTTAACTTCTTTCTAAACACGTGGATTTTGTATATACTAAAATGGATTCGGAGGATGAAGACGCGATATTTGACGACGAACACGAGGATAGTTATAACGAATCCGGCTCCGAACAGGGCGATGAAAGCGACTTCGACATCGACTGCGACGAACCCTCTACTCCGAAAAGACCTCATATAAATGACGATTTTCATTACGAATGTCTAACCCCTGAAGCTTTAGTCAGTTATATGAACGCTATTATAGACGAGGTTAATAACGTTTTCCAGGTAAGCTACTAGGGTTTCGTGGGAGTACGGCAGACTTACTTATATATCAATGCAAACATCAACAATACAAAACGTTGTCCTGTCTTGTTGGGACTTGCTGAATCAAACGAAGGGTCGTGTGTTATTATCAGAGTGTCTTGGGTAGTTAAATGCTACCCATATTCTAAGAGCTATGAATGCCTCCATTATTTAAGTTTCTCCAACGCCAAAGAACCACGTTCGTTGAAATATCTCTGGTGATAATTTTACTTTCCTCGAATTTCTTGTCAGCCAGAACGGAGGAAGGAATAAGAAACTGATCTTTTGTTTTTCTTAAAATTTCTTGGTATTGCTGGTTTTGAAACCTATTTTTCCCTGTTTTAGGAAGTTAGTCGTATGTATTCCTCTAATTGTAACTAACCAGTTACTAAAATATATGTTGCTTCATGGGATGAAAGCAATTTTATCAAAATTATTTGATGCAATCCATTGTTTCCATCGACTACCAACTTTTTTTGGCTTGTATTTCGCGTTGTGTTTAATTTCTGTTGTTAGATTTTTGAAGTATGTGAAGCTTTTATGGATTCTTGGAATTACAAGTGATTGCTGATATTACCAGCTACACATGCCCCCATCATGTGGAAGAAACCACATGACACCTTTGATTAAGAGAAGATGATATAATTTTACTATTCAATTGTGATTAGTTGGCATGCAGATTTGGCTTTGCAAGAGATTTGCTAAGTCATGAAGAACTGAGAATCTGTAGCAATGTGAACTAGATACCCAATGGAGGGTCAAATATTCAGCCCTGGAACCTGGGTAGTCTGGTTCAGGTGTAAATTAATTTTGCAGTGTTAATGCATTGTAATTTTTTTAAAAAAATGGCAGCTGTTTAAAGCAATTTTAGCTTAGAGGTCCTTTAGTAAAACAAAATTTACACAGCAATTATTTTAGAACAGATAGTGACAGCTAGGAATCTAGTATATATATATATATTATATATATATATATATATATATATATATATATATATATATATATATATATATATATATATATATATATATATATATATATTAGACACCAAACCAACTTGCTTAAGTTTCACATATTAAATGGATTTTCCTGAAAATTTTATACTTGTATTGAGTGTTATGATTCAGTCCAATATTGATATTTCAGGTAGGTCATCATCAAGGAAATGATAACAAGTTGTACTTGTCTTTAAAATAAGTTCAAAATTGTCTATAAGTTTAGATAAGATTAGGTACTGTCTGTCCTTTATGTACATACTAGTACAGTGTTTTCACTTAAGGGGTAATCAGCTATATCTTTAGTTAACCTTGTCATCCTCAGATTGGCCAAAGAGGAATTTCTCAGTAATGTCAGTAAGGGGATAATGTTTGACTTAGCACCAAATTCCCTAAGAGAGAACAATAAACAATGAGAAATGGATGACAGAGAGTGTAGAGGATTTAAATTTTGATCTTGGGAATGAAAGGGTTGATCTTCTTCTTTTAACTAAATGTTTTCAGTGTCTTTCACTGCAAGTTTCAAAACTATTTGATACAAGCGTAATAATTGTAAAACTTCTAGCTTTGTGACATCAAGATGAATACTGACCATGTATTTTTATTTTATTGGGACAGTTGCCTAGACCAACAGCCAGGATTCTTCTTAGTCACTTTAAATGGGATAAAGAAAAGCTACTAGAAAGGTTCGTGAAAATTCTCTTTTGTTTATCTCTGAGAAACTGGGTATAGTTGAAACTTTTTTAGTGCCAGGTAAATCTAAATGTACATATAGGGATTGATACACCATATTCTATACTTTAACCTGTAATTTGTGTAGATATTTTGCGAGTTATGAAGTTTTTTCTGAGCCCTGTAAAGGTGAAGAAAAATACATCCAATGAGCAAAATGTCTAACCATTAGTTATTTGTTAAACCATCAAATAAGGATTTCTTTTTCTCCTATTGTTTCATTTACCAGTGTCTTGTGCTGTAGTTTTCAAGAAACATCCTACAGCCTCATCTGAGCTTCATGTCAATCACACAAGATGTGCGCAAAATATGAAAACAATTCTAACAAATCATTAGAGTGTTCTTTAGGACCAGTTAAAAAATTTAGGGCACGTAAGATTGTTACTTAAAATAGTCAAGCCTTAAAAATGAAAAAAAATCAAAATTAGGGTTGTCCAGTGTGGCCATTTTGTTACTCAGTTGTGCAATGCCCAAATGAATGTTATGAGGTAATTCTTTAGGAAGCCTCATTGAGGTGCCTAAATCTCTACTTTTGAGGAGGAGAGTAGGTTTCATTGCAATAACTTTGACTGAGAAGTTTGTCAAGCACAGTTGTGGGACTTTTCATTTGAGTGTTGTTAGTAGTAATTCAGGATTGTATTGGTTTTTTTTTGCTTGGTTTAGTGAGGGGTCTATTCTGAAAGGTCACACACAAATATGTATGCGTAAGACATTATTTTGAATTTTGTCTTACA